CAGTAACCTGGAAGTATAGAAAACTGGCTGAAATGAAAGCAGGAATGATACTTTCCAGGATTTCTTAGATTGTCTTGTTAAATATTAATTTGGAATGGCTTGAAATTGCAACAGATCAACAGAATGAAGTGGAAGCTCCCCCTTGAGGCTATTGCTTGGATCATTTTTTATGGTTTTCGGTTTTTAATCCCATAGCAAACATAGCTGTCTAAAAGAAAATAAAATATGATTATTTTGCTAAGGAAAGTAACTTGGCTACAGATACTAATGAGATGGACAGAACATTCTGAATTTATTCCATGTGTCAATTATAGAACAGATATTTCTATTTTTACTTTTAACATTTATTTCCATTATTAATTCCACATATATTGTATTATTTCTCACTAAAGGATGGACTGTAATTCCAGCTAATATGAATTTACAGTATATTAAGATAATTTATCTTTGCATAAAAAAATTCTACACTAGAATATGAGTTATTGTAATCTCATATATGTAAAACTGTTTTATCAGTGTTATTCATTTGAGTGATGAGATTTATTTTAAGGCAAAGAAAATGATGCACAGTACTTGATTATTCTTTGCTACCATCTATTTTTGATAATGCTTGTCCAATGTTAGCACAAATTATTCTACTCAGGTCTTATTAATTAGTACAAAAATAGAATTGACACATTCAATTCCCTGAAAACAAGCTGAAAGAGAAAGTAGCTTTTTCCTATGTATGCTTTACTGTTGGAACAAGCAATGGCAGAAATGTATGGTTGACAACTTGTATACTGGTATCTTGTTATGTTCTGGATTTTTTGTTATTATTTTGTTTTTAAATCATGGGAAAGAGAAGTCACCCTGATGCCACTTAGAAATGCTATCACTTAAACTCATGAAACATAAAAGATTGTCACAAAATTTCCTTCCTTCCTTCCTCCCTCCCTCCCTCCCACATTCCTAATCTCCGAGTGACAGAAGTCGACCACTTCTATATAGCATCACTTTATGCATACTTGGATATATAAAGAAATTGTGTAGTTTTTTTTAAAATAGATTCAAAATAAGAAAACAATGAAAGTAGAGTTGAAAGGCTAGAATATCCTTCTTGCATTATTTCCTTTGACTCAAATAACAGTTTACAAATATTTCCTACAGATAACTAAGAGTCTTCTTATTCTTTCGGAAATTTTGTTCCTGTTTGCAAAAGTCCAGATTTGAAGACCAAGAAAAATATTTGTGAGACTGCCTCAGAACTCCTCAGATCTGCAAAATAGATCCTCAGTATGGCATTGTTTATATGACAGTGATAAGTGTGAAAAGGTTGCTAAAGAACATATATAAAAGCTTTATGTGTTTGTAAATAATTGCACACAATTCTGTATTCAGAATCTAGAAGTTTTATTAATATGCCTCACTTATGCATATAGAGCTATTGAAATATATTTCTTATCCTAATTATTGTGTTATAAAAAGACTTGCAGGAAATATCATAGCTGTAGGACAGACTTGGATGTAAACAAGTATTCCCTTGCCTCCCTTCTCCCCTCAAAAAAAAAACAAACAACCCAATAACAATATTGCTTCCATATGCCAAGAAAATAACATAGAGATATCTATGAAACCATCAAAAGTTGAGTTTGATGTTATTGTGCCGGTCATTTCCCAAAAAAAATTATGCTGCAATTTTTCTGTCTCTTGGCCAACATAGAAACATGTATTAACAGCAGAAGTACTTATCCTTTAGATGCAATGGAACGGAACTGAAATATATATATATATATATATATAT